TGCACTAATGGCTCAGCCTGGGGCCCCAGGGACCTTCCCTGCCCACCCCCCCAGACTGCTCTGCGGGCCCCCTTGCCCCCTCACTGCTGAAACCCAATCCTCTGCGGCAGCCCTGGCTCCGCAGAGCAGCCTCCAGCAGAGCGGCCCCTGCCTCCCAAGTCGGCTGCGCCCTACCTGGCCTCTCCTGCCGAGCCCCCGGCCCTGCGCTGAGCCTAGTGGAGCCCCGGCTGGTTCCTTCGAGACAGCCGAGCCGAACCTGCCTGACCAGTGCCTTCCCGCTTCTTGGTTTGGGCCCCTCTCCCCACTCTCTCCTCCCCTCTCCTTCCCTGCAGTGACCCCTGCCCGGCCCCCCAAATCCTCAGTCCCTCCCAGTCCTCGGACTGACCCTCTTTCCTCTCTCCAAGTCCCTGCAGCCTGATCGCCAATCCCCAGCCCTCTCAGTGTCCCCCACCCTGGACCTCAGCCATGAAGCCCCATCCTGGGCCAGAGGAGGCCCGGAGGCTAGCTTCGGACATCCGCGTGTTCGCCAGCAGCTGCACGATGCATGGGCTGGGCCACGTCTTCGGCCCTGGGGGCCTGACGCCTCGCCGAGGGCTCTGGGCCGCAGCCGTGCTCCTGTCTCTGGCCGCCTTCCTCTACCAGGTGGCTGAGAGGGTGCGCTACTATGGGGAGTTCCACCATGAGACAGCCCTGGACGAGCGCGAAAGCCACCGGCTCACCTTCCCCGCCATCACCCTGTGCAACATCAACCCACTGCGCCGCTCGCGCCTCACGCCCAACGACCTGCACTGGGCCGGGCCCGCGCTGCTGGGCGTGGAGCCCGCTGAGCATGCCGCCTTCCTGCGTGCCCTGGGCCGGCCCCCCGCGCCCCCCGGCTTCATGCCCAGTCCCACCTTCGACATGGCTCGACTGTACGCCAGGGCCGGACACGCCCTGGAGGAAATGCTGCTGGATTGCCGCTACAGAGGCTGGCCGTGCGGTCCCGAGAACTTCACCGTGGTGAGCTGGCTGCCGGCCCGGCCTACCAGGGACCCGGCCGGTCCCTGCCCAGGACCTGCAATTCCCCCAGCCCTGCTGGCCCAGGCTCCTCCTAAGCTAGGGGACCTTCACACCTGTGCCGGGGATCCTTTCCTTCCCAGCCGGGCGACAGGCTCCACACCCCACCAGTGCCTTTCTGTCCAGCCCAGGAGACGGCCCTCCTTGGGGACCCCTGCCTGCCATTCAGCTGGACTGCAATGTACAAGGTCATGCCTTCCAGCACAGGGCACTCACTGGGGCTGGCTCTGGGCCCGAGCTCTGGTCTGGGGAGCCCCTGCCCCTGGGGCCTGGGGGGAATCTAGTGGGGCCGTTCTAGAGCAGAACGCTCTCCTGCCTGGGGGAGTGGGCTTGTCTTCCCTCTGCCTCTCCAACGTTCTGCCAGTCCTGGAGGAGGGCAACTGAGACCCACTTCCTTTCTTGCCATTCTCTGAAGACACACTTGTCCTACAGGCTGTGCCCTGGGCTGGGGGGCTGGGGGGCTGAGGAAGGGGGAGGAGGGGCTGCGGTAATGGGAGCCCACAAGGGTCCAACTAGCTGTGCTGGTAAGTGGGAGGGACCGGGGGCACTGAGATGTGGGTTCCATGTTCCAAGAGACCACATAGAGGATGGGGAGGGGAGAGGTCTCATGTTTGCCTGGGGGAAAGAGCTGGCCGGGCTCCTTGTCCCCTGGTGAGGTCTGTCCCCCGTCTGCTCACCCACAGATCTTCACCCGGATGGGTCAGTGCTACACCTTTAACTCTGGCGCGGATGGGGCAGAACTGCTCACCACTCCCAAGGGCGGCATGGGCAACGGGCTGGAAATCATGCTGGATGTGCAGCAGGATGAGTATCTGCCCGTGTGGAGGGACATGGGTACGGGGGCACCCGTGTCAGGCTGGAGGGGTGGCAGAGATGGTGTACAAAAGGCTCTGGGAAGGAGAGGAGGCGCTAGGAAGGGCCCCAGAGGAGTACATCCTCTCCTGTGAAGGGGGAGGAGGGTGGGCAGGGTTGGCCAGTCACAGTCCTGGGGCAAGCCGTCTGCAGCAGGGGGGCTCCTGGGACACAGGCGTCAGGGTCCCCCTTTCCCCTGCAGAGGAGACCCCGTTCGAGGTGGGGGTCCGAGTGCAGATCCACAGCCAGGAGGAGCCGCCCACCATCGACCAGCTGGGCTTCGGGGCAGCCCCCGGCTACCAGACCTTCGTGTCCTGCCAGCAACAGCGAGTATCCTCACGGGTTTTTCCAACCCCCTCCTTCAGCCACAACATCTCAGACCATCCCAGGGGCCTCCAGCCCTCGGCATGCCATCTCGGTGACCACTCACACTGCACCTGGCCGCCCCACTTCTCCTCGAAGCCTCCTTAACCCGACCAACTACAGCTGAGCTTCCTGCCACCACCCTGGGGTGATTGCAGCTCCGCACCTCTGGACCCCGACTTTGAGCCGGAACCTTCTGGTCCCCTAGGTCCTCCCAGCCCCAGCCCAGGCCCCCAAACCCCCTATAGTCTGATGGGGTGTCGCCTGGCCTGTGAGGCTCGCTATGTGGCTCGAAAGTGTGGCTGCCGAATGATGCATATGCCAGGTAAGGAGCTGGTGGGGGCGGAGGCGGGGGTCCAGGACGGCGAAGGGGCCTGGGAGCTGCTCCTGAAGCGGTCTCCTCCCCCACCACGCCAGGCGGGGCGCCAGTGTGCAGCCCCCAGCAATACAAGGACTGCGCGGACCCGGCGCTGGGTAAGGGGCAGACCTCCCCCGCGTCCCCACCCCCGCTCGGCTCCGGCTCCCGGACTCGCCGGCCGGGTGGCCCTGACTCAGGTGACTGTGGTGGCCCTTAGACGCCATGCTGCGGAAGGACGCGTGCACCTGCCCCAACCCCTGCGCCAGCACGCGCTACGCCAAGGAGCTCTCCATGGTGCGGATCCCGAGCCGCGCCGCCGCCCGCTACCTGGCCCGGAAACACAACCGCAGCGAGGCCTACATCGTGTGAGTTGGGCCATCCGGGACCAGACGGGGCAGGGTGGGGGGAAGGGCGGGGGCACCCTCCCGCGGGCGAGCCTTCGTGCGCACACCCGGGTGCAAGCCCAGCTTGTACATCATCGCGGGGCTCCTGGGACTCTGGCCAAGCTGTTTAACCTTTGTGATAGCATCTCTTCTGCAAACGGGGCCGTGACACCCGTCCCTGGGGCTCTTAAGAGGAGTCACAGACGGGAGATCGCGCACCTCTCTCCTGCCAGCAGCTATCACCTGGGGGTGTCCAGCGAGCTTTCTTGGCCTCTTTTCCTCCAGAGAGAACGTGCTCGTGCTGGACATCTTCTTTGAGGCCCTCAACTATGAGACCGTGGAGCAGAAAAAGGCCTATGAAGTGTCAGAACTGCTCGGTGTGTGTGTGTGTGTGTGTGTGTGTGTGTGTGTGTGTGTGTGTGTGTGTGTGTGCGCGCGCGCACACGCACATCCAGGTCATCCAGAAGTCTGGGGAGGTGTGGGCTTGGCAGGTGGCTGTGAGCTGATGGGTAACCTGGTCTCCACAGGCGACATTGGGGGCCAGATGGGGCTGTTCATCGGGGCCAGCCTGCTCACCATCCTTGAGATCCTGGACTACCTCTGTGAGGTGGGCCTGAGCCCCAGCTGGGGGAGGGGGAAGGAATCAGTGCATAAGATCCAGGAGAAGGTGTGCAATGGCCACTTCCCCCACTGCTTGCCCCCAGGTGTTCCAAGACAGGGTCCTGGGATACTTCTGGAACCGGAAGCACTCCCAAAGGCACTCTAGCACCAATCTGGTAACAAACCCTTCTTCCTTCTTTGCCATCTCCAATGTCTTCCCCTGAAGCCTAGAACACCATCCCTACCCAGCTGAGGAAAGAATGGTGGGGGAGGAGCGTGCAGTGACTTTGGCTGGTCCTGGGAGGGAGGACTCCTCCCCACCTCTGACCCTCTCCCTCCTCCCACAGCTTCAGGAAGGGCTGGGCAGCCATGGAACCCAAGTTCCCCACCTCAGCCTGGGCCCCAGGTAACAAGAAATGGCTCCCTATTTCAAGGGAGGAGGGGCAGGTCCAGTCTAGGGGGTGACACTGAGGTTCAGGAGGGGAGGGCAGTGGGAACAAGGCCTCCTGTCCCAGCGCAGTGGTCTGGGTCTCACCAGGCCCCCCACCCCTCCCTGTGCCGTCACCAAGACTCTGTCTGCCTCCCACCGCACCTGCTACCTCGTCACACGGCTCTAGACCTGGCATCTGTGTCTTCCGGGCTGCACCTTGACATCTTGGACGGGCCCAGCCTGCACATGTCTCTGCCCTCTTCACCCCAAATAAAGTTCTAGTGCATCAGCCTCAGCTGTTTCTCTCACAGCCAGACTAGTCAGGCTAAGGTCAAAGAAGACCTCCGCCCACCAACCTCCAGTGGACGGCGTCTGAGATGCAGGTGGGTCCCAGTCAACCACCACAAATCTCTCTGGGCGAAAAGACTAGTGAGAGGGCATCCTCCCATTGCACCTCAGGATGAAGGAGTTTATCGAAATGACATCTCAGAGAGAAAGGAGTCCAAAGCCAGGTATCAAGGCAAAGAGGACTCAGCGGGAGGACAGTTATGTTCGGGGGACACAAGGGAATAGATGAAGAAGGCTCTGACCCAGAGCCTGGCAAGAAGTGGGGGGCAGGGAGAGGACAGAGGGTGTGTAGCCACTTCCAAGAACACAAGCTGCTGTCCGCCTTAGATCATGACTCTTTTCTCATGTTTGGGACCAAGCACCAGCACACCACCTGTCTCCACGGGAACTGCTCTGCGTCTCCAACTTTCCCAAAGAGCGGAAGGTCCCAGCTTGAGATGGTGGAGGGAGGCCTTCCCTTCCCACTCCTGCCAGTAAGAAGACATCCTGGCCCCAGCTACAGCCCCATCCTTGCTCTTTCTCTGTACCTCAAATATTGGAAAACTGACAAGGGAGCAGGGGAAGGGATGTTCCTCGTCTAACCGCATCTTTGGATCCCTGCTGTCCCAGCCTATCAGCCTGGGTATGGGGGGTGGGGATGAAGGGAAAGATGGGGAGGTACACGTGGGGTATGGAGAGCCGTGAAGAAAGGCCCCGCCCTTTTTCTCCCCATTCTGGCGCAGGCCCATCCTTACTCTGACACTGGCTGCCAGCATAAGCACATGTGCGGGGGTGGTACTGCCCCGAGCCCAGCCGTCAGGGGTGGGGGGCGCTGCCCCCAGCCCCCAAGTGTCAGGCCACTCAGAGTAGTGGAGCAAAGGCTGGACCACTGGGCTGGGTCTGAGCCAGAAGCAAGGCCGGAGAGGGCGGTAAAACAGAGACCCCTGCCCAAGCCCACCCGCCTCTCAGAGCCACTCTACCACATCAGCCAGACTGTGGGAAAGGAGCCAATTTATGAAATTAAATAAAGTCCACGGAGGGAGCGAAGAACACGGGCCGGGGCACCCCCACCCCGGCCGGGCCCAGCACAGCTGGAGCTCAGCACCCCGTGCACCCCCGGCTTTTCCTCCCCTCCTGGGAGGGGGCTTAAATAGGCCAGGCCCCAGCCCGGCCAAGGTCCTGGAACCTACGGGGGGCAGAAGTCGGAGAAGTAGGGGTGTTGCAGGGCTTCCTCTGCCGAGATGCGCTGGACGGGGTTACATTTCAGGAGGTTCTGAAGGCGTGAAGAAAGGCGCGAAGAAAGGCGGGTTCAGGCTGGGTTAACTGCCTCCAGCCCCAGCCTCCCCTAGACCTCCTGACAAGTGTCTGGATTCCACCCTCGGCCCCTGCCCTCGGTCACCTGTAGAAGGTCCCTCCCTGTGGCATTGAGCTTGGGTACGACATTCACCAGGGACGTTGTGGCCGGGTACATCGGGTAGGGCTGTGGGGGTGGGGGTGCAGGGAGAGTCAGACCAGCAGTGCGGGGGCCCGGAGGCTGCTACAGCTGGGAAGCAAAAGGGACCCCCGCTATTCCCCGTCACACCTTATAGTCTGGCAGCTTGGTCATGGCAGGCCACTGCTCCTCGGTTGGTGTCCCCAGAAGCGTGTCCATGGGGTCAAGGATCACTCAGGTGGAAAGGGGCGGGCGAGGAGCTCTTCCCCTCCTGGGGGGGGGGG